AGAGATAGAGAGTCGCGAACCGTAGCGAAACGCACTGGTAATGGTTGCCCGGTATGGGAGCGGGTGGGGATGAGGGGTGGGAGTGATTGATTGATGGCTGACAGGTGTGTCTGTCGGCAGGAGTAAGTACCTCGCGCCTCCTTACCGGAGTCCACAGTGTATGGGGAGTCGTCGTGGGACGAACATCAACACTCTGAAGACAACGAAAACCTTTTAGACAAAATGGCCTCCACTTCCGCAGGAGAGTGCCCTCTCGCTCTCTCACCCCTCAACACGTGCGACTTCCTGTAGGGGGGAAGCTAATGGACCTCCCCGGCCTTCCTCTCAGGTATGTGGGTTCTCCTCTCCCTCACCCCCTCACCCCTCCCCAAACAACATATCCAATATGCTGGTTCCCCTCTCATCCTCTAATCACGATCATCAAACTAATATTAACCTTACTCAGGATTAAGTCTATGACAAACACACATACATATTCATTTACTCCTTCCTCATATTCCACTCTTATCCTTGTATTTTTCCTACTCTACCACATAGCACACATACTCTCCTACAACATGAACTCCCATCTTTCCTGACCACTTACCTTAACCCCCGAGGACTAGACCCGCGCGCGCGCGGGGTGGGGGGCCGCATCTGCTCACCCGCCACTCAAGACCGACACGCGCCAAACTTCCGGGAAATTCCCCCAAAAAAACTTGAGGACGGGAGCGACGCGCACCACCTGGCACTCATCAACATGACCTCCCCTCTTTCATGACCACATACCCAAACATCGGACGCTCACACGCGTCCGAAACACGCCAAAACTTCCGGGAAATTCCCCCAAAACCCTGTGTGACTACACACCTGCGCACCACCTGTCGGCTGGCACTCCATGGAGTGCCAGCTGGCAGCTGGTGCGCGCGGTCGTAGTCACATATTTCACTACTCAAAATAAGGGTATACAATCGGCGTGCATATATAACCATTTTTACATTAAGAGAACGGAGGTGAAGCATAACATAAATATAACCAAATAAGTAACGTGAATAAACTGCAAGAGCCAAGCGTAAATACTGTAACCACTGAGGAAACTAAACTGCAATAGCTAAGCATAAACTACTGTAACTACCGATGAAACTAGGCAAAAGTGCAGGGCCAGGAGACGTGAAGCTAAAATAAGGGCCCGCGAATACTGCATATAGCACATCCTGTCTGACTTTACTTAATAATTCTTAGGAACTCTGCAAATAGCACAGCCTGGCTGACTTTACTTAATAATTTACTTAGTAACTCTGCAACTAGCACAACCTGGCTGACTTTACTTAATAATTAATAATAATAATAATAATAATAATAATAATTTTTATTTAGGCAAAGGTACATACATAAAGAGATTTTACAAAGTTTGTTGGCTTTATAGATAGGAGCTAGTACATACAATGCCTAAAGCCACTATTACGCAAAGCGTTTCGGGCAGGAAAAAACACTACTGACTAAAGCTTAAAACTAATGGGTAAAAAGAAAAAAATGCGTTGAAAATTTACTTAGTAACTCTGCAAATAGCACATCCTGGCTGACTTTACTTAATGACGTAAGGCAGGGTAAAAGTGGGCAAGCATACTGAACACAGCAACGCAAAAATAAACATGCGACATGAGCGAAGCATCAACTGTCGGAGTAAATTAAGGAGGCTGTCTGGGAAAAAGAGTCCGTGGTAACCTGAAAGCAGGAGGCATGTTAGTGCTGAAAGTAGAACATAATTATGAATAGGGCAAGGCATGGCACGTGGTATCTGCAAGTACAAAATAAGGGTATACAATCGGCGTGGATATATAGCCATTTTTACAATAAGAGAACGGAGGTGATGCATAACATAAATATAACCAAATAAGCGACGTGAATAAACTGCAAGAGCCAAGCGTAAAATACTGTAACTACTGAGGAAACTAGGCAAAATGCAGGGCCAGGGAACGTAAAGCAAAATAAGGGCCCGGGAATACTGCAAATAGCACCTCCTGGCTGACTTTACTTAATAAATTACTTATAATTCTGCAAATAGGACATCCTGGCTGACTTTACTTAATGACGTAAGACAAGGAAAAGTGAACAAGCATACTGTAACACAGCGAATGCGAAAATTGAACATGCGACATGCACAAGGCAACGAATGAATGAGTAAATTAAGTTAGGCTGGTAGCAAAATGAATCCGTGGTGATCTGAAAGCAGAGGCATGTCAGTGCTGAAATGTAGAACATAATTATGAATAAGGGCAAGGCATGTCGCGAGATGTCTGCAAGACAAAAAAAAGAAACCTTCCATATAAAGTGTGTGAAAGTCTTAATTTACATTTACATTGAAAGTCTTTAATTTACATTCTTTGCCTTAGGAAGGCAAAGAATGGGATAACATTAAATATACGACGTTCCCGACGACGCTTCGACGCCGCCATCTGCTGGAGGATACCGTGCCCCAGGCAACATGGGGGCCACCCCCCTGTCCAGGGCACTGCCCCTGGAACTGGACGCCGAGGACTTAATGAACACCGAGGAAGACGAGTCATCCTGGATTGCCGGCGGCAACGCCGAACCCAGGGCCTGTGGTGCGTACCGTTAGACGTAAACCTGCAGACGTCGTCGAGCTGATCTCGGGTCCTTGCTCCAACGCCGGCGTCTCCCTCCGACGATGAAGAACAACCGACGACACAAGGCGGACGGGCAGGCGGACGAACGCTGAACTTACAACGTAGGAGGAACCCCTGCTACAACGGACGGGCAGGGCGCTTAAGACAAACGCACCAGGCTACACCGGCCAGGCGGGAGCGCCTGGGAACCAACCTGCCGGGCAACACCGGCCAGACGGATGACATGGAGTAACGGTCCTGGCTACCCCCCAGGCGAGCAGGACACGTGCCTGAGGGCCTGGACGACGGAAAGCTTGAAATAACACACCGGGCTACACCGGCCAGACGTACGTCTGGGGACTACATGCCGGACTTACACCGGGCAGACGGACGTCTGGGGACAACTTGTTCGGTGACAACTCCGGGGATGACGTACCTGGGGACTCCGGGACTCCAAAGGGGCCTTGGGAATAACACCCCGGGCAACACGGCCGGGCGAGACGTCCGAGGGCGACGTGCCTAGCTGAGAACACACCACACACGCCAAGGACCCCGTGGCCTACCAACCACACGCTGCCACACGGCATGCTCAGGGCCTAGACGAAAGGGAGGGGGGGGGGCCGCACACAGGCGCGCCCGTACGGGCGCAAGGCAGACGACCAGACACGTGCATGGTCGATGGCGGCGAGGCATGGGCCCCAAGGCAGAGCACAAAGGGCGTAGGGCCCACCACGCCTGGCCACATGGCGACGCCGGCAAGGGCACGCCTGGCCGCCGACGGGGCCCCGGGCAGGGCGCGTGCCTGGGCACGCCGTGCTACGGGGCCCCCTGGACACGTACGAGCATGGCTGGACGGTGCCCCACATGAGGAGACCGAACGCAGGCCACTAGGGACGCGGCCCGGGGCACGCCGACCCTAAGCCAGCCACGCGACCTGCACGGCACGGGGGCGCCCGGCACAGGCCCAAGGAGGGCGCCCCAGCTCTCGCGGGAACTAACAGCAGAGAGCCCAAAGGACTAACTAAGGCGGCACACACGTACCGCGAGGGGATGGAGCTTGGCACACGCCGCACTGGGGAGGACCTGACTAGAATTGAACAGAAAACCTCACCTTGGGGTTAAAAGTGTAGGGCAGGAGGGCCCTGCCGGAACAGTCTGGGGTGTCGAGGGCCCCAGGATGTTTGTGAGAGAGAGGTCAGGTACCGAGGCAGCTGGCGTGTTGTCCATCTCGTGCGGAGTCGGGCGGCCGGGGAGAGTTTGCGAGGGCAGCGGCGAGGGCAGGCAGAGTGAGGGCAGAGCCCCTCTGAGCCCCCGTATTTATACGGCCCGCGCAACGCCGCGGGACGCGCTGCGCAAATGTTTCTTTCTCCCCCATCAGAAACATCCCCGCTTTGTGAAGCAGTGGCCATTTATTTAACCATAACTTTGCATTCATTTAATAATTATATTAAGATATGTTTTCCTTGAAATGTAGTTACATTATCGTCTACATGGCTTTATTCTGACATAAAGACCTATGGCGTTACTTTGCATATATGCAAAGTAATTATAAAATTGATTGGCTTGTGTGGAGGCCTTCACACTCCCTGAGCGAGCCATCAAGTAACTATAAAAAGGCATATATCTTAACTTTCAATTCAGTTATATTTATGCCAAAATATTAACATGCAGCTTATATTTATGTCTTTATGATGACATAGAAAACTTCGTTTATTACAATATCTAGATTAAATTAACATTGATCTTCGGAAGGTCATAGTTCCCATATCGGTAAGGAGAGCGTCGGCCATGAAGCCTTGTTTAAAGTATGAATATTTTTCCTCTCTAATAAGGTATAATCTCTGTGATGGATTCACAAAAACTATTTTATATCTGCCTTTCTGATAACATATACAAATATAATCTTTATTTGTGAATATTTGTTAATTAAGCAATATATCAGAGGGCGTGTAGGGTTCGGTGTTCAATGAACGAAAAGGACTGGATCACTGTGTACAGGAGGCTGATATGGCAGCAAACACTCTCCTGGCGACCATATATCTTGGATAAGTCGCTCCACACAATTGTCGCTTGGACCGTCGACTTCCTATGGCGTCACCTCTCACATATTTACGTCTAATTTCGTTATGAAATTAGATTATTTCAGAGTAAAAATAGGTTTGATCATGTTCTATGTGTAGCACCAACATTATAGTAAGTAAATATACCATATTTCTTCATTACTTACGTAATGCTAGGACGATTTGGGTAGTTTTGGGCTGATTTGGGTCGATTTGGGTAATTCTATGGACCGAACACGGGTGATCCTAGATTTTGCAGTCATCGGGAGAACAAATCCTTCATGCAAACTGCACCTACTATCAAGAAGAAGAAGATCCTAGATTTGGGCATGGTATGTAAAGTTTTCTCGGCATTTATGTAAATAATTCCTTCATATGTAATATTTTACTAATTGAAAAGAATGCAAATGTTTCATTGCTGTTTAGTTAAATAATTTTCAAAAACTTGTTGCAGTATTAAAGTTTTGCTTGTTATGTGTAGGAAGAATATATTTTACTGCATATTGGTATACACATTCTAATACGTTTTTAGTATGCAGCATGTTGTTTTTATCAATTATGTTTTTTATAATTTATTTATTTATTTATTTATTTATTTATTTATTTATGCATATACAAGAATGTACATAAGGAATGTGAGGATACAAATATGGTAATTACAGTCTTGTAAAGCCACTAGCACGCGCAGCGTTTCGGGCAGGTCCTTAATCTAAGAAAATTTTAAGGAGGTAAATACTTGCAAAATTTATAGACAAAAAAATGATAACAGATTACATGAAATGAAAAAAAAAAAAAAGATGAGAGAAAATTGTAGGTACAGTATATTAAAGCACATAGGTAGCTAAGATTGATTGCAATGACAGCTTAAAATGGTAGTTGACAACAAATTGGTAGGCACAATACAGCGGAAACAATATAAGATTGATTGCAATGACAGCTTGAATGGTAGTTGACAAAAATTGGTAGTCACAATACAGCATATGGCTAGCACATAAAAGAAGACAGCAATGAACACAATGATAAGGTTGTTTGATATTACATAAAAATTAGGAGATTGGGTAACACTAGGTACAGAGCAAATTTAAAGCTCAGTGTAGGAAACTAAGAAGATGATAAGCTTTATATCTTCTTATTATAAACTAAGAAGATGAAAGCAGTACAATGTCTATAATAAGCTTCCTAGAAGGTTGTAACAGATCCCATGAGCACCACACCAGAAACAAATACCTATTTGATATTCCAAGAGTACGACTTAGTTAAACTAGAAATGCTTTACAAATCAAGGGACCTCGAATGTGGCCTTCCCAATTATGTTAAAGACTGTACCTCTCCCAACCAGTTTAAGTTAAAAACTAAGTACTAGCTAATTAACTCAATGTAACCTACCTCACCTCCAAAATGTCAACCCATCTCTTCTATTTAAAACAATGCTGTTTGTTGACCAAATTGTATTTTACTTTTTTTCTGCCATGTTTCACCCCCCCCCTCCCTTTTTTTCCATTTTTTTCTTATTTTTTCTCAACACAATTTATACTTTAATCTCTTTTAGTATTAAGTTTTAGTCTTAGTGTTTTTCCTGCCCGAAACACTGCGTAATAGTGGCTTTAGGCATTGTATGTACTAGCTCTATCTATAAATCCATCTACTTTTGTATCTTACCTTGTATGTATGTACTTTACCTGAATAAATAATTGTATTTGTATTTGTAATAGGTAGATGATACAGAAAGCAGTACAATGTCTGTCACAAATCCTTTTACTGCGGCAGCATTAAGACCACAAGTCAGTAGAATAAATATGCCTGGAAGATCGACCCCAGCCAGCATACTAGCAGGTAAAAAAACATTTAATCAGCTTTTGACAAAATTACAAATAAAGATGTGTTATGTTATGTCATTGTGTTAGGTTAGCCTAGCTATTATTTCCAATTTGTTTTTTAATTTGTATTAGTATGCAGTACTAGGCTATTGTAACAAATTGGAATGTACAACGTCCAATATTTTTTGGGCAGATTCGTTCTTGGCTCCTGAAAACTATCTTTACTTACCAGATGTACCAAGAATAACTCCGGACAATAATGATGGTATTGTTTATAAAATCATTTGATTATGGCCTTTATAATACATTAATATCAAAGTTTACAACCTTGTGTAATACAGTAAGTCTTTGTTTTAACAATAACAACAGAATTTTTTTTCTATGCTCAGCATAATTGGCTTGAAATCCATCATCCCATTATAATTTCTATCACTTTGATTATTGGTTTAGACAATTACATCAAAACATTTAATGTAGCTTCTCTTGCTACAGTTATAATGTATCCTATTGAGAATGTGTATTTTTTTTAACAGAAGGTCTCCAGACACTAGCAATTTTAGCTAAAGAGAACCTTCATCGTGAATATTTTAAAATAAACTCGGCTCTCCAGAAAAAATGTGAATATATGAAGCGAAGTTTAAATATTGAGGACCTAAATTATCTGAAGCCTTCAAACAAGAAAGGAAAAGGAGAAAATTACTGCAGGATTATTGAAATCAGTCAAACACAACGTTCAAACTTATCAGAAGGTAATTTTTTATTTAGTTATTTATTCCATGACCCATGTTTGTGTATTCCTATATCATAGTATAATGATAGGTTTAATTGCTAGTGTAGATTTCATTTTGCCTCAGACTTAAAATTATTTAGGTTTTTGGTGTTTTATTATTCAAAATTTGTTTATAGATAATCCAAGGTTATAGTCAACTTCTCCTTTGAAAACAGATATTTACCTGAATGCCACAAACTCTAGTAGCCTAGAAGAGTACAGGAAGCCCGTGGCTTGTCGAAATTCCCCCCATTTGCCTTTATGATCTTTTTTTGGGTATATTTAGAAATTCAGCACAGTTTTGGCAGTTACAGCTCTGGTGGGTAGGCAGTTCCATGTGTTAATAACCCTCTGGGTCAAAAATAATTTCCTGTTGTCAGCCCTACATTTTGGTTTGTTGAACTTGAAACCGTTGCTCTTTGTTTGTATTACATCTGAACCAAACTAGCCAAACTTTTTTTGATAATGTCATTGACTGCTTCATATCTGGCAATCTTTCCCTGTGTCTTATGACAGATTAGGCCATGGCTGCCATATTGGTCTGCCCTTGCATAGCCGCAAATACACCGGTGTTCGGTGGAGATAGGGGCAGCGATGGTCATAGACAGCAAAAAAATGTAGATAGTTTACAAATTAAAAATAGATAAAGTGTTGTGGAATTACCATACTTAAAGGTTGATTTTCTGCCAAACAGCCCTTCTGCCTGCTTCTCTTTCACCTCCACACATTCAAAGTTCTGACTTCTCAACTAGTGTACCAACATATACTCAAACATATTTACCAGCTGCAGAACAAACACCAAAATCATTGAATTCTGGTACGTCCCTATTTGAACTATGTAATGTAATATAATCTTAGTACCTAGTATCTACTATATATATATATATATATATATATATATATATATATATATATATATATATATATATATATATATATATATATATAAATATATATATATATATATATATATATATATATATATATATATATATATATGTCGTACCTAGTAGCCAGAACTCACTTTTTGGCCTACTATGCAAGGCCCGATTTGCCTACTAAGCCAAGTTTTCCTGAATTAATATATTTTTTCTAATTTTTTTCTTATGAAATGATAAAGCTACCCATTTCATTATGTATGAGGTCAATTTTTGTTTATTGGAGTTAAAATTAACGTAGATATATGACCGAACCTAACCAACCCTACCTAACCTAACCTAACATATCTCTATAGGTTAGGTTTGGTTAAGTAGCCGAAAAAGTTAGGTTAGGTTAGGTTAGGTAGGTTAGGTAGTCGGAAAACAATTAATTCATGAAAACTTGGCTTATTAGGCAAATCGGGCCTTGCATAGTAGGCTGAGAAGTGCGTTCTGGCTACTAGGTACGACATATATATATATATATATATATATATATATATATATATATATATATATATATAAATATATATATATATATATATATATATATATATATATATATATATATATATATATATATATATATATATATATCATAGTCTAACTAACACATTACTGAAAGCTGTCAGTTGTTCTAGATGCTTATATAATATGTATAAAATACACTTTTATTTACTACATCTATTTGCTCTTGAAGATTTTCCTGACTAATTTAGAATCCCATATTTCAAAGTACTTGCTGCAGAACTGGAGGAAATTTATGAATCTCAAGCAAGCATTTCTGATTGGCAAAAAAGAAGAAAAAATAGTGAGATTAAATGGGGAGAACGTAGGTCAATGTTGTTTAGCTGGACATTGTCAAAGTTGGGTGTTCCAGATAAAGGTAAATAACATCTTTAGTGTGTAATTATGGATAAATTTCAATGTAATTATGAAATGCATGATTAATGTCAATCTCTGAATACACTTAGATGTTTGTCATTTTTAAACTTGGTATACAATACTGTATTTCTAAATCCAATATTACCATTCAAAGTACATAATTACATTATTTTTTGGAAAACCAGGCAAATGTTGTGTACAATGTAGAAGTTGTGAGGCAAGCATAAAATGTGAAGACTGCTTTCATTTTTTGTGTCATAAATGTGATCAGCAGCAGCATTTTGTAATGCCTTTCCACCAGCGATTCTGCTGGAAAAATGGGTTCTTCGAGCCTTTAGACCCAACACAAACTGTGTGTTCAGATGGGAATGTCATTCACTGGAGTAAGTAATGTACCTGTAGTCTGTTTCTTATACTCTCATTTCTATCCTGAATCAAGCAGTGTTTTAAAATTTTATTTAGTTCATGTAATTTTTTTAGTAGTTTTTGTATTGGTCATTTTCCTCATTAATTATTGATTACCTCATTAATTATAGATTTTTAGTTAAATAAATGAATTTTTATTTGTTATTAAATATAAATCTTTCCTGTAACTCCAGTTAATGCTAAAAAAATTATTAGTAATTTAAAATGTAATGATTGAAACATGTATTTATTTTGCTGCATAGCTGATCTTGTAAATTTAATTGTTACCAGAGCCTGTTGTACCAGCACATCCACCTAATTCCTGCCCAAACTGCAGTGAGAGCAAGTTCACAACTTTAAGCTCCAATAATTTGTGCATCTTTGTAACTTTAACATTTCTCTTGTTAGAACAAGAGAAACAAGAGAAACGAAACAAAATGAAACGCCATTCTAACAAGAGAAATGTTGAACAAGAATACTTGCATAATAGACAAAACCCAAGATTCAAGAAGATTACAAATTCTTGAGGCAATTCACATAAGAATAGAGCGACCTACCATGAACACCCAAATCACGGAACTATTTACTCTACCCACCATGAGAGTAAGGACAAGACAAGAACATATCGATGCCAACACAGAAGACAATGTCCAACATAACAGGCCAATTACACTGGATTAATCTTTGTGTTTAGATAGGAGATGCCTCGTATGGGCCAATAAGCCTTCTGCAGCCCCTATGTTTATCCCTTATGTATCCCCCCATGTTTTCACCTTCATTGTATTATCACCTGACCTAATGCGGGTATAAAATCAACTAGTATTGTAAGATCTGTTCACTTGAGAATGAACCATGGAGGTTCGAAACGTCGTGCAAATTATACAAATAAGTGTAATACACTCTATAGTAAATCACTTCTTTTCTTCACCTTAAAAGTACGAAAATGAGTTTTGGAGAACTCCTATTTCAATTAAGCCCTGATGCTAAGAAAATAGTTAGAGGGATAGAAGCCCTAAACCAGAAAATAATAAATACAGAATATGCGGTCATATTCAATGAAACATATATATATATATATATATATATATATATATATATATATATATATATATATATATATATATAAATAAATATATATATATAAATATATATATATATATATATATATATATATATATATATATATATATATATATATATTTATATATATTTATATATATATATATATATATATATATATATATATATATATATAAGCCTATACTTGCATAAACCACAAGTGAAGATTAACAATCTTTGGACAACACCCACCAGTGGGACTCGAACCCAGAAAGCACAACTACCTTCCAGTAGCTGGCATAACTAGTATGCTTTAACCCACTACGCCATCAGACCTTACAAAAGAAGTAGATAGTTCGAGATATATATCTCAAACATCTCCACCTCCCGAAGGCACCAGATGAGTGAGGGGTCAGTCTGCATTTTTCGTCAATGTGAGAGAACTCGTGTCCAGCTTATAAGCCTATACTTGCATAAACCACAAGTGAAGATTAACAATCTTTGGACAACACCCACCAGTGGGACTCGAACCCAGAAAGCACAACAACAACGATTATATATATATATATATATATATATATATATATATATATATATATATATATATATATATATATATATATATATAAACTTGTTATATGGCAAATAAATAATTATTATTTCATTCTTGGGGTCATGAATGCTGGTGTTTGTTTACAGCACATGGTAGCGGTGTGCGTATATGGGTGCCAATGAGTCTGAGAGGAGTGGCCCTCTTCCATTGTTATTCAACAATTTTGAGATCCATTGGCACTATTGGTCATGGCCCAGCCAACAACTTCAAAAGGTAACAATTATAACATCAAACTTTATTTAGAAGGTTTTAATTTAGTATGAATTTGCAGTGTTCCACATACAAACAGTTTAGTTTAGTTCATTTATTATGCACCCCATACCCATCTTGTGGGCGGTAGTGGAAAGGGTTACAGAGTCACATAATGGGCTCAGGGACTGAACCCCACAATTCATTTAGCTAAGCAAGTTACAATCTTGATGAGCTAGTTACAAAACATCATTAGATATACCGATAAATTAGTCCTCAGGCAGACTCAGGGACTAAAACCCATAATTCATTTATCTCAGCAAGTTAGTATTAATGAGGTAGGTTCAAAATTAAATGCACATTGTCACATCAACAATAGGCTAGAGACTGATCGCAAGTACAGTTTCTCAATTAAGCAACATATATATGGAGAGTTAAGGCTACTTCTAGGAAACAAAATATTTTAATATGAAGTATTTCATTGTAGGTTTGAAAGGAAAATTCCTAATGAGATGCACAGAATGCCAGGAATGTGTTCATGTGCGGTCTACAAAATGCCAGAGATGTGGGTACAACTTTAAAGCTCGTCGGATGGAAAGCAAAAAAAAAAATGGAAGAATCTCTCCTCCTTATTGGAAAGAAGGTAGCAGAACGAAACAACATCTCCCGGGCTTACAGAGCCATTGAGAAGCAGGTAAAACTGTTGTTTCCTGAATATATTATATTGAATTCACTTATATTAAATAATATATATGTATGTATGGCTTTGTATATATATATATATATATATATATATATATATATATATATATATATATATATATATATATATATATGTCGTACCTAATAGCCAGAACGCACTTCTCAGCCTACTATGCAAGGCCCGATTTGCCTAATAAGCCAAGTTTTCCTGAATTAATATATTTTCTCTAATTTTTTTCTTGTGAAATGATAAAGCTACCCATTTAATTATGTATGAGGTCAATTTTTTTTTATTGGAGTTAAAATTAACGTAGATATATGACAGAACCTAACCAACCCTACCTAACCTAACCTAACCTATCTCTATAGGTTAGGTTAGGTTAGGTAGCCGAAAAAGATAGGTTAGGTTAGGTTAGGTAGGTTAGGTTGTCGAAAAACAATTAATTCATGAAAACTTGGCTTATTAGGCAAATCGGGCCTTGCATAGTAGGCTGAAAAGTGCGTTCTGGCTACTAGGTACGACATATATATATATATATATATATATATATATATATATATATATATATATATATATATATATATATATACTGTATATATATATAATTATATATATATATGTCGTACCTAGTAGCCAGAATGCACTTCTCGGCCTACTATGCAAGGCCCGATTTGCCTAATATGCCAAGTTTTCCTGAATTATTATATTTTCTCTAATTTTTTTCTTATGAAATGATAAAGCTACCCATTTCATTATGTATGAGGTCAATTTTTTTTATTGGAGTTAAAATTAACGTAGATATATGACCGAACCTAACCAACCCTACCTAACCTAACCTAACCTATCTTTATAGGTTAGGTTAGGGTAGGTAGCCGAAAAAGTTAGGTTAGGTTAGGTTAGGTAGGTTAGGTAGTCGAAAAACAAATAATTCATGAAAACTTGGCTTATTAGGCAAATTGGGCCTTGCATAGTAGGCTGAGAAGTGCGTGCTGGCTACTAGGTACGACATATATATATATAATTATATATATATACAGTATATATATATATATATATATATATATATATATATATATATATATATATATATATATATATATATGTCGTACCTAGTAGCCAGAACGCACTTTTCAGCCTACTATGCAAGGCCCGATTTGCCTAATAAGCCAAGTTTTCCTGAATTAATATATTTTCTCTAATTTTTTTCTTGTGAAATGATAAAGCTACCCATTTAATTATGTATGAGGTCAATTTTTTTTTATTGGAGTTAAAATTAATGTAGATATATGACAGAACCTAACCAACCCTACCTAACCTAACCTAACCTATCTCTATAGGTTAGGTTAGGTTAGGTAGCCGAAAAAGATAGGTTAGGTTAGGTTAGGTAGGTTAGGTTGTCGAAAAACAATTAATTCATGAAAACTTGGCTTATTAGGCAAATCGGGCCTTGCATAGTAGGCTGAAAAGTGCGTTCTGGCTACTAGGTACGACATATATATATATATATATATATATATATATATATATATATATATATATATATATATATACTGTATATATATATAATTATATATATATATGTCGTACCTAGTAGCCAGAATGCACTTCTCGGCCTACTATGCAAGGCCCGATTTGCCTAATATGCCAAGTTTTCCTGAATTATTATATTTTCTCTAATTTTTTTCTTATGAAATGATAAAGCTACCCATTTCATTATGTATGAGGTCAATTTTTTTTATTGGAGTTATAATTAACGTAGATATATGACCGAACCTAACCATCCCTACCTAACCTAACCTAACCTATCTTTATAGGTTAGGTTAGGGTAGGTAGCCGAAAAAGTTAGGTTAGGTTAGGTTAGGTAGGTTAGGTAGTCGAAAAACAAATAATTCATGAAAACTTGGCTTATTAGGCAAATTGGGCCTTGCATAGTAGGCTGAGAAGTGCGTGCTGGCTACTAGGTACGACATATATATATATATATATATATATATATATATATATACTGTATATATATATATATATATATATATACTGTATATATATATATATATACTGTATATATATATATATATAGACATATATATATATATATATATATATATATATATATATATACTGTATATATATATATATATATATATATACTGTATATATATATATATATACTGTATATATATATATATATACTGTATATATATATATATATATATATATATATATATATATATATATATATATATATATATATATATATATATATATATATATATATATATATATACAAACCTGCTGTCTGGGTAACAGCTTCTCCCCCGAATCAACTTACCCTGGCTTTGCGCCCTGGTGAGGCCACTCCTGACCAGGCCGACACCAGAGCACAACTCCATAGTCTCCTGAGACCGATGGATGCCTACTATATATAACACCTGCTTCCTATCCTACATTGTGGCTTGGTGATCTTTAAATATTTGCTCCTGGTTTGTTACATCTGGCCCTCTTAAAGAAGTAATGTAGATATATATCCTCCAAAGTGTTAGGAAATTTGAGTATGAGAATCCCCCAGTGTTGATCTTTCTCAAAAGAGATATGTCTTTATGAAGACGAGATCGTCATGAGGCCTTTTGTTCATTAGGATTTTACCCTTTCTTTTCAGATGGCAAAAATGCGTGGTGCTGGGTATGAAACCATGTTCATCTATTAAAAAAAAGCACTCCATAAAGCTACTCAAGGCATTTTGCCAGCAGATTGCCTAACAGCAGCAGACTGTAAATCAATAAGCAATATCTTCCATTTGTGTAAGTACTGTATTGAATATACTAATGCAATATTATATAATATAATTTAATATAATATAATTGCATATACTAATGTAATATATTTTAATATAATGAAATAAAAATAATGCATAGACCTTAATGCAATAAATAAAATAACCCTCTAGGATTTGTCTTTGCTCTTCTTATTTTTGAAATATGAAGTTCATAGTTTTGCTTTCCTTTCCTTTCACATTTCATGTTTAACTTTTCTGACTAGTTGGACAAAATATCATGCATACAAGGTTCTTAACCACATTGTTATACATTTGGGGTCACTATTATCTGAACTGATAAACTTATATTATATACTATATTACTGTTCTATGCTAAAAATAAGTTTAAATGTTAAATATTGAATATAAAAACAATTCTTTGTTACCTTGCCTGTTGCCAGATTCACATTCCAATACATGATAAGCACACCTCCCATGAAAGGTATATTGCCAACATATTTTTGCTGATAATTTAATAATTAAATTATAATAGAAATTTTTATTTTCAGATCGCAAGAGGAAGATGGAGGCTGCAAAATTAAACCAACTCACAGTTGAACATAATGATTCTGTGACACCATTGACTAGAGGTCAGTAAAATAAATAAATAAATATATATATACGTATATATATATATATATATATATATTATTAAATATGACCGAAAAAGTAAGATTAATAATTCTAACACAAATTTTCTCAATCTTTCGTACATTACGCTTCACTGTTGGAGGTAAATCAAAAATCACTTCTCCAAAATTCATTTTTATTTCTAGTCTGACGCGACACGGGCGCGTTTCGTAAAACTTATTACATTTTCAAAGACTTCACAAATACACAACTGATTAGAACTTGCGTTTCTCTGATTTTATATCTACATTTGAGTGAGGTGGGAAGGGTGATGTGGCATTAACACAAGACAGAACAATAGGGGATATTAATAGGGTATTAAAAGTATCAACACAAGACAGAACAGAAACAATGGGTATTGAATAGAAGTGTTTGTAGAAAGCCTATTGGTCCATATTTCTTGATGCTTCTATATTGGAGCGGAGTCTTGAGGTGGGTAGAATATAGTTGTGCAATAATTGGCTGTTGATTGCTGGTGTTGACTTCTTGATGTGTAGTGCCTCGCAAACGTCAAGCCGCCTGCTATCGCTGTATCTATCGATGATTTCTGTGTTGTTTACTAGGATTTCTCTGGCGATGGTTTGGTTATGGGAAGAGATTATATGTTCCTTAATGGAGCCCTGTTGCTTATGCATCGTTAAACAACAGGGGCTCCATTAAGGAACATATAATCTCTTCCCATAACCAAACCATCGCCAGAGAAATCCTAGTATGGGAAGAGATTATATGTTCCTTAATGGAGCCCTGTTGCTTATGCATCGT